CGGGAGAGATTAGGCGATAAGATATTTGTACTGACATATTATCTGTGTAATCGCCCGTGTCGGCTTTCACTAGGCGTATATATATATATATATATATATTATATATAATATAATATATAGTGTATATATAGTATTCAAATATTCGTAATACTTTAATATGATTTCATAAATCACACGATATTTGGATCGAATTTGTGGCTATGACGAAAGCCACTATAAGTAAACCAGTTCAAACCCAGCCAATAGGTTTGAACCCAACGACACTACTCGTGCAGGTTGCTGCGTATTGCTACTTCTCTAGTTAGTGCGAAAAATTATTACAAAATTTCATATCCAAACGCATAGAACTCGTGGGCCGGACACACGCACACACATACAACCGCAGCCGCACGCACGCAACGCTCGCGAGCGCACGCAACCGCACAGACACGCTCGCACAGCACGCACGCACGCATTCGCCTACAACAGCACACACCACACCACACACACACACACACAACAGCACACACACACAACACGAGCTCGTTTGTAACGCAAGACTCTGCGCTAAATATTGTGCCCGTATATGAATACGCGTTTAATCTCGTTATATCTGCGCGTGTATGTGGGGAGGGTTTCAACGATCAAACACATTTGATAATCAAAGCATGACGATGTCACGCTCACGCACGCTCGCCTCTGATAAAACAAATGCCAACCAATTATACTAACTGTCATATATTCAAATGTCAAATGTTGCCTTCATGAACTACGTGCAGCGTTAACCTGTGAGGGTAGACTCTGCATATTGTGGTACGTGCACACCGTACATGCAGTGTTATATATCATGTTGATAATTATAGCTACGATTGGTACACATGCAGGTCAGGGTGAGAAGTCAGTGTGACAATTAGGCCTACTAATTATTGCCACTGAGATGTTCAAGTCATGATTGTGTGTTCGGGACCTTAAGCGTCCCCCATGGGGTTTGCCAGTAGCAACCTTCGAAGCTTCCTTCTGATGAAGATGTTGGCCACATTATCCATTTGCAAAAGGAGGTCCTTGTGGAGCAACAGAAGCAGGAGGGCGTTCAGTCTGACGTTACCCCTGAAGACCCGCTGCTACTAAAAAGAATTTTTTTTAAGTTTTATTGATTTTTGGGCCTAGAAACGGGAGGGGGGCGTACGCCGGTTCCGCCTTATGCTGCATACGCCATTGATATGTGTACACATGGAACTGTTACGTGTACACTTATTACAGTTACGTGTACAAATGGCAGTGTTACGTGTGATGTTATACGATGTTCAAGTTTTTTGTTTTGCGCAAACTCACTCTCGGTTCTATGAGCGCACTTGAGAAGCTAGCTTGTTCGTACGAGTAATAAATACCCAGCTAACCCCGATATCTAATGTCAATATTTAATGAGAACGTGCCATAAATACTCAACTTGCGACAAATTAATGAAAAACGAATAGCCACCACTGCAACTCTTGAACCCGTTTGCAATTATTACAATCCGCCGATATAGCTTTTTTTACATTTCGTACAAAACGCTGTAAGGACGCCTGCATAGGCTATTGGTGTGATATGATGTGATAATCCTCCCTCTCGCGTGTTCTCGCGTGTTTTCGCGAGTTCTCTGGTACCGTGGTGAGAAACTTGACTACGACACTATAGTAACGTGTTTGTGCCACTGCTCTCTATTATACTAACTATTCTATTAGTATAATAGAGATCAGTGGTTTGTTCGTAGCAATAATAGAGGGTGCTCTGAGTTCAACTCTGTTCTTCTTACAACGACAAACCGACGACGAGAAGAGGAGGGGGGGTGACTACTCAACTGTTTCTAATAAATCGACGTATAAATTTCCAACGTGAATTTACATCGAACTGCGATGCATGTAAAAATAGATGTCACGGCGACCGGTGTGTATAAATGCATTGCAGACGCCGGGGGTCGGGATAAGTACAATCATCACCTGCTTTTGAATCTCCGATAGATTCTATAGAGACTTCTATCGAATTTTATCTATCGTTAAAGTGATGTAGCGCTCCTTTATTGCTCTCATTACGTCATCCGTGGTAACGTTAATGATTACCGCTCCTGCTCGTAACGGCCGCTAGGGCCTACTCACCAGAACGTCAGTGTAGCGAACGCAGTCAAGCGTAACATGACGACTGGTATTATACAGGTTACATCCGTGATACATTGTTGCAATCGATGATGACGTAATAATGGCGGTCGATGGCTGCCTAGCCGGGTATAGGGAAACGTGGGCGAACGCGCGTGTAGCGATAGCTCTGCATTTATATCTGCTCTTCATGCGACTCAGAGGGCCCAACGCGGTGTTTAAGCTATCGACGCACAGTCTAGTGTAGTCGTACGCGACTGCAGTCGCAGCGGGGGGAGTTTCCCGAAGCACCAACGCCGGGCGAAAAAAATCGATAAAATAGAACGGATAAACGAGATGGCCGGACTATCGGGTCTTTAGCCTTCACTCATTATCCTCGATCACTGTGAGTAATTCGTAGGGGAGAGAATGGTTCTCTAGGGTCGGACGAACCCTCCTATTACACAGTATAGTGTATTATTACACATCTGCAATCCCCGATGTATGATTGATACATCGTTGTTGCTTTCTGTGCCAACGAAAGACTGGCAGTAGGTATAGGTCGATGTGATTGGATCGAGGCATTACGTAAAGGTGGCAGCGATACTGCTGCTGTCATGCTAATTGTATGATTACTAGTGTGCCGTCCTCACACACGCGTACGCACACACTCATACGTGCATGTAAACACGCACGCACGCACGCACGCACGCACGCAAGTAGGCACGCACATAGGCATGCACGCACGCACATGCACGCACGCACGCACGCAGTACTACGCACATACACGTACATATTCATGCACGCACTCACACACGCGCGGACACCTTCACACACATACGTGCACACGCACACACACACGCGCACACGCACACACACACGTGGACACCCGCACATATGCACGCACCTACGCGGTCACGCTCACGCACTCGCACATACAAACGAACAGGCGCGCGTGCACACACGCACGCACACGCGCACGCGCACGCACACACTGGCCGTGTCACCCTGTCACTATTAGAATCACCACCTCCTGGCGAGCGCAGTTATTCTACGAAGTAGGCCTAGCTATAGTTTTACATCGATTCGATAGAGATTTAATTTGCGTATTTTGCTAATGTTGTTGTTATTGCTATTGTCATAGTTATTGTCGTTGTCGTTGTCGTTGTCATTATTATTTGTTATTTGTCATTGTTAATGTTATATTGTTATTGTTATTGTTATTGTTATCTGTGCGTGTGAGAAGCCGTGGCCATGTCCTTATCTATATAGAGGAACGAATTAAGCTGGGAAGCGCTCCCTATCTGAATTCCTATGGCGTTTTAGTCCTCGCGTCTTCTGGTTCAAATACAGTGTCGCAGCGCCACCTTTGTTATAAATAAACAGTTCTCGCTTAGGTTCGTGTCAAGAGAAACGCAACAGCTGAAAGCTCGATATCCTACAATACATGCATATAGTATGTATAATATATATACAGATTTATTTATTTATATATATTTATATATATATATATATATATATATATATAATGAGATCAGTGGAAAGACGAGCACGAGTGGTTGATTCGATTATTTTAACATTTACCAGAAGATGACGGGACCTGCGACCGTTTTACTTTGGCGGGAAAATTCGTCTGCGGCTGCACTTTCTATCGACGTCCCAGGCGCCATATTTACTGTTACGATTAGACGATTTACTGATACGATTTATCACGATTAGACAGATTATATCATCATTCTGTGTCATTTTTGCATCAGATTGTTTTTTGTTACTAGGTAAGTGAACTTAGTAATAGTATACAACTATATATAGCTACTAGCAGTACCAGAGCCTCTAGTAGAGGCATATAAAAGCCGACGATTGTTAGATAGCTGTGAAGCATTTTTTTATTTTCCAGCTTAGAGCATAATTGACAATGAACGCAGACACCATGAAGTTATTGGGAGACCCCGACGCAGACTCCGCGAAAGAGATTGATAGTGATGAGTATCCACAACCAGACCAGCTTGATGGCATCTGTGACTACGAGAGGGAGAGGTTAAAAAACTTGAAGAAAAACTATGAAACGATTGCTGTCGCTAGGTGGGTAATCCATGGTAATAATGTACTTTTAAAATAATTTACTAGGCCCTATTTAAAGTATTTATAGAATATAGAAGTATTGTAGATATAGATACAGTATATATGAATATAGGCAATTAAATTAATCAATGTTTTAAACAATGAAAAAACAAACCGCATTGTATAATCATTACAATAGGCCTACATACTTCATCAGGATTGTAAAGTAAGTAGGCTAATACGTTATTATTATACACTGATGTGTTATTGTGTATACCACAGGAATATAAACTCATGCAGTGTTACCATTTGAAAATATCAATTCAGGAATTTGTTGGCAATATTTTTCCCGAATTTACTAAACGTGGTCAATAATTTCGTTATTTATCCTTTTCTTCCTAAACTGTAAACAAAATCCCTGTTGGGACATTAGGATTAAAGGTGGCGAAGCCAGAATTGACGAAGAGATGTGTAACTAAGAAGAAAAAAAGGAAGAAGGGAGAGAGTAACAAAGAATGGTCGCCAAGCAAAGAAATTAGCAATGAACGAATCCTCCGGCCAAGACGTTAGTAATCACTCGGTCCTTTGAAATGTTTCTTGACGCTACACTTTCATCATTTCATTTCTAGAAATGGGCAATATACAATGTAATGTATTGTATATTAACTATTCATAAGCAGAATCAAGCATTCGTAAGCAGGATAAACTATTCTGGTATATTTAATGTAAATTGTCGTTTATTTATAAAAATAGACTATACAACCAGTAGTTCACATGTGCATGTGTTAATATTATACTGCATTATGCTCGTCTAATCCTTTGTATAATTGATAACTTCTTCCACCCCAGATATAATATATATATATATAAGATGCACACTTGCTCTTGTGCTGTAGGTATTCGTAAGATGCACCTGCAAGTTGTGCCAAAGCTCCCCCAAATGCAGCATGGGCAGAGGTTAATTTAGCAATAATTTTAGAAGTAATGTGTCAAGTTAATATTGATAAACCATAGGACCGTCTAGATGGAAGGTAATATCGATAATTATTAATGGAGCGAATATGTTTACAAGTGTTATAGTATAGCAAATATTTTCATAATATTTTTGCAGTTAAAAAGTACTTTGCACGAGCCAAAGAGATCATAGTGGAGATGGACTTGAAGAAATTTTCAAGGATTGATTCTGCAAGATTAAAACGCTGTTAATAAGGGCTTGGCGATGTCAGCAGTATTTATTAAAACAGCCTTCTGATAATGCTAATAGACAAGGTCCCAAAAAACACAAGTTAAAAAAATTGATGCAATGCTGTGCTTTCAAATGAAACTTGGTCTTTGAGAGAAGAGTTAAGTTACTTTAAACAGGCATTTGAAGACTAACAATAGAAATGTTCCTAGCCAGCAGGGCTAGTGACCTGGTAAAATCTAACTAGCCCTTAAATATCTCCCAGTCCTTACTTTCGTCTCGAAGTTGCCGCGCTGAGGCTACGCAGTAGTAAAATTTTTGCATTGCGGGCAGAGGTGGGGTGGGGGGGGTGGAGGTGGAGAGTATGGATACTGGTGTTTATGATTTTCAGGATTATGCTCGAGCTAGATTCTGCGAAATTCCGATAGCATAAGAAAGATTTGAGATTCAGCATATATCAGTGAGTATAGATAAACTATAGCAGGTTTCGTCCGCCGAGATGGAAATTCAAGACTAGGGTGGTACGAGGAGGAGGGGGCAGGGGTGCCGCGGGGCGTGTATTTTACCGGTACGGTGTATTCTAAGTAATGCGTAAATCGCCACCAACACATAGACGATAATTTAGGTTCTTGTGTGGTAGGTGATACGTATTAGCCGGTCGGTGTAGACGTGAGTGACATGGTTATACTGTGCATTGTCAGCGATAACTTGTGTACTGTCTGCAGTGCATGCGGTGGGTGATGGTAAAAATACACGCGTT